ATCCGTTTAACTAGGCACTAGAGGTGGGCCACCAATCCAAGCATGAAGCGAAAAAGCCCACGGAATGGTCTGGTCTGTGGTTCAGTTTGTAGTTCAGTTTGGGGATCCTGTCCTGCCAAAGCAAAAAGCAATGCCAAACTTTCTTCCTTTTGGTGCTTCATTTTCAGCAAACAGATGCCCCGACACCCCTTTTGGCTCTCCCTTGGTCCTGCCACCGACTCCTCTTCGTCCTCCACCACCACCATCTTTAGAAGAAGGGAAGCTGAGCCTCGGTCTCTAAAGATGGCAGCAGTGGAGGATGATGACAAGGAATCAGCAAGACCAGATAGGGAGGCGATGGGGACAGTGGGAGTGGAGGCATTAGATTTCCACTTCTCCAGCCACAACCTAGGAGGGAAGGGGGGAAAAAACTGAACCACAAACTGGTTCCTTTCCCTGGGATTTGTGGGTGGCCACGAACCACCCCGATCTGTCATGTTTTCCAACTTGTGGCAGTCTCTCCTAGGGACTCCTCTGCAGGAACTTCATCTGTGTCAGATTCGCTGTCTGTACTGTATAAACATCACTGTGCACACACAGTGTCTATAGCCAACAAAGAAGGAGGGGAAATGAACCAAAAGCAGAGAGTTTTCCCTGAGGTCTTTTACAAGACGCAGAACATTCCATTCTTTCTGGACTTACCTGAGAAGACAGGGTTGCCGATTAATAACAAAGAACTATGGTACATATACCAGACCACACAGCATGACCCGCTCACATTTCAAAGATGAAAAGAGGACATGTAATGACCCCTTTTCCCATCGCAAGGTCCACCGCTCCTTAAGCCAGGACTAAACTCTCTTCTCTGCTTGCTCTGTGCTAAACTGCTCCCCACGGGTTATCAAAAAGAATGACTCTAGACTGTTTCTTAGAATACAGACATCCTTGAGTGGATCTAGTTGTACCTGTACTAGAACAGTGGTTCTCAAACTTGGGTCGCCAGATGTTCTTGCACTGCAACTCCCAGAAATCCTGGCCGGCACAGCTGGTAGTGAAGGCTTCTGGGAATTGCAGTCCAGGAACATCGGAGGACCCAGGTTTGAGAACCAGAGTACTAGCATACCTTCAATTCAGAAGACAAAAATGTTTGCTCAGTGGATAAACAGTTATGGGCAGAAGGAAGGAAACAGTACGCTAACACTGCATACCAACACGCCTGCATTTACACAAATATATCTGCTCCGTATACACAAACTCTCTTTTCATGCATGCACATACATGCCTATGACAGCTAGAGACCAGCTAAACAATGGCGAAACTAGGAAACTGTTTTTCAAGGGACTGTTGGGGGTATAGGTGACCACACCAGGTTACGTTATGTTGTTCTGTGCTGTGAAGTCACTTCCAGGGTTTTCAAGGTGGGAGATGTTCAAGGAGTGATTCCCCATCACCACCACACACACACATACACACCCCATGAGTTTCCAGCCAAATGGGGATATATATGAACCAAGATGTTCTGATACACTATGCACTACACCAGCGATTCTCAAACTTGGGTCCCTGGATGTTCTGAGACTAAAAACCCCCAGAAGCCTTCGCCACTCACTGTGCTGGCCAGGATTTCTGGGAGCTGGAGTCCAAGAACATCTGGGGACCCAAGGTTATGTGGCCCAGTGATTGTGTGTGTTGTATGTAAACATCTATGGCTACATCTTCCCTGCCGAGTGTCTGAGGAAGTGGGCTGTAATTCACGAAAGCTCACACTAACATATATCTGTCAGTCTTTAAAGTGCCACAACACTTTTGCTTTCATTTTTTCAAATATACCAGCTTCTATACTCTCAGAAAGTCTGAAGGCAAGAGTATAGAAGCTTAGAAAGTGTGAGGGCAAGAGGAGAAGGGGACGACAGAGGACGAGATGGCTGGACAGGGACATTGAAACGACCATCATGACTTTGACCCAACTCCGTGAGGCAGTGGAAGGCAGGAGGGCCTGGCGTGCTCTGGTCCATGGAGTCACCAAGAGTCGGACGCGACTAAATGACTAAACAACAATATACTCTCAATCACTCAGGCCGATAAGAGTCATCAATATATTCAACTTGTTTACTTTTTCTTAACAACATCTTGAAAGCACAGAAGGATGTTTCGTGGTATGTTTCAAGGACGCAAGGACGGCAGCAGCTAATAATCATGAAGTGAACTTGATTTTCGCCTCTCCGGAGGCAAACTCCAGAGAGCTGCAGTCGCTCTGTTTCCTGCTTAAAGGTGAGGAAAGCCGCCCGAACTTGTCTGCACTCCATTTAACCAGGCGACTGCAAAAGCAAAGTTCACGCAAAAAACTGACACTGAGGCGAAAGAACACAGAATCACAGGAAACTGGTGGCAAGTACAGTCATTCGCTCAGAGAGGTACCTAATTGCCTTCTCTTTCACTGACCTCAGAACTGGCATCGCTATTAACAAGCCAACTTTGAATGTTTGGATATGAGAGGAATCACAGAAGCATTAACAGGCTGGATTACACCTGCTGCCACGAACAGACACCGTGAGTGGGTCTCCTGTCGCTGCCCTGCACGGTCAGAAAGGGTTTATTAACAACCTGGAAAAAGAGGCACGGGGGCTGTTTTCAAAGACAGGTATCTTCCGAACGGTTTGGGGCCAGATGGGTGTGTGCGCGCCATCAACCACACAATCGAAACAAAAGGCAGAACCTGGTTGGGAACTCAAAGAGCAGGACGAGGCATCCAAGGAGGTTAGCCTAAAAGGCCCAAGGCTGGCGCATGAACAGTGGGAACGCTGGGAGCCGGACCAGACCCTCCCTCTGTGATCACGAGAGCCATAAACAGGCTTCTGGGAAAACACGACCTTCAGCCGTCAGGGCTTGGAAGGCAGTTAAGCACAGGTCTGGACAGAGATACCGTCACTGCTGCAGCTTATTTACTCTGGCCGGGATCCAAAGAGGCTAGCAAAAGGCCCTTATGGTAGCTCCAAGAAAATGTGACCTTTTAAAAAAAAAAAAGACATCTTTGGGTCTCATCCCTTGTCACAACACTTGCTGCCAAAATACCTTCTCCTGAAACCTTATTCTCCACGTTATTTGCTGAGCAGCACAGAATGGGGGGGGGAACCTCCCTAAACTCTCACCTGCCCTCTGGGCTCACAGAGTTATTTCCCATGTTCCTTCGGATCCTGCCCGGTGCTTGAGTGGAATGAAGCCTTTTCACCAGATTCAGCCTCCCCTCCCCTCCCCCCTCAATATCAAAGAACTGGGTGTTCCTTCGGATCCTGCCCGGTGCTTGAGCAGAAGGAAGCCGTTTCACCAGTTTCAGCCTCACCTCCCACCTCAATATCAAAGAACTTGGGGTGGGGGTGGATCTGGGGTGGATCTAAGTCGGTGCATGCCTGCTAATCTACCCATATGGGGCCGTTCTCTCCCCAAGCAGAGCGTGCAAGGTGGCAAAGTGAATCAGACCAAAAGAGCAAGGCCTGCCCTTCCATTTGGCATAGTGCAATGGTGGTCAGGAAGGGAAAAAAAGGTTGGGAAGGGGCTGACAGTTTCACAGGGTTGTGCTGTAGTAGATTCAGTCCTACAGTGAAGCTTAATGAGGCAATTTCCTTACGACAAGAAGTTTGGGATGCTATACACGAGCATCAATTAGCTGCCTGTCCTTCCTTCCTTCCTCCCTGCCTCCCTCCCTTCTTTTTGCAAGGTGGGAGGAATAACAAGACATGGGATGAGATCAATGGCAGTAGCAGTAGAGTATAGTGTGAAAAACAGGCTACATATGAAAATTTATATTCTCTCTCTCTCTCTCTCTCTCTCTCACACACACACACACACACAGAGAGAGAGAGAGAGAGTGAGAGAGAGAGAGAGAGAGAGAGAGAGAGATGATCAGATATTACTAATCCAATATTATTTACAGTATTTAGATTGTAATCTCTTTCGGGAAACAGACTTGTCTTTGTTCCTGCTCTGTACAGGGAAGGTATTATATAAACAAAACAATATTAAATAATAATACTACAGTGGAACTTTCAGGGTGTTTTCAACAAATCACAATGTCTATTGGGACGTTGCTTCATGTAGTACTTAGTTTATTATAGACATTTCATCTGTTCCTTCAATCCAAATCTCAGGGCAATTTATGTTTGACCACAGAGCTATGAAGTCTATCCAGCAGAACTTACTCGTTTCTATTATTTCAAACTCCTGGAATTAAAGAGAGATGAGAGACCCTTCGGAGAAAGTCAATCTGCTATGGGTTGCATATGCGGTGCTGCTGCTCCTGAGAGACTGAGGGAACCTCAGGGAAAATGGGATGCAATTCCTGGAGACCTGCAGGGCAGAAGGAGCCAGGCTTGCTCTAAACACTCTCTACTCCGTTCTAGAAGGTACGGAAAATTCTCGTCTCTGCTCAGGGGCAGGAGACCTTCTTACAGGAAGGAGTCACCGAGACCGTAAAGAAGAACGGTCAACTTTCCCCACCAGAAATGATGTGTTTATATTAGTACTTAAAATTTGCAAGATGAAAAAGAGAGGGGAGACCTTGGTCTTGCGAAGGTTCATCAAATTCGCGTTTGCCTCTGACAACTGCAAACGGAGGGATGGAAGTAAACTTGAGAGCTGCCAGCCCAGGGAAGTTCGTGGCATAAGAAAGCTGAGAAATGGGTGGGCAGGCAAACATCTCTGGAGAAAGGCCAAAGGAGAAGACGGCCATCTCCCCAGGATGGTGGCAACAAGGGAGCTGGTTAGGACTTGTTAACCAGGAGACCCCCTTCTAAAAAAATTTGTTTACTCTCTTTATTCCTCCTTCCCCAGTATAACATTTTTAAAACTTCAAATGCCAAAAGGAGGGGAAAAAAGCACGAACAGAGAAGAGTTGAATGCTCAGAACAAGGTTTCTCCCCCTCTAGATTCGTTTCAGAGCAGAAAACAGGCGAGCTATCCAAAACAGACAAGACACCATTTAAAGTAATAAACTGTTGTCACTCCAAATAATTTTCTCCTCACAGCTTCCCCCTCTGCGTCATCAACTTTGAAATGAATTCCATGCAAGCAAAAGCAAGATCATCTACAATTTGTAGAGCTGGCAAACTTTGCAAAAACAAATGTCCTTTACCTCTTAAGGGAGAGGCACTTCTAACTGCAAAGCTGTTGTCTTACCTGTTTCTGCACTCCCAAGTATCGGTGGGGGGAGCTACAGAAAACCTATCTTACCAGACCTTTCCTGAGGTTGTCTTCCCCTCAGCCTGCTTCCCTAAACCAGACCCTTTGCTGTGGTTTCTAGCCAGATCCTGTGGGATCTGGCTGTGGAATCAAGTTTACTAGATCTGTGGAATCAAGTTTACTAGCCGCCTAGAGTGGTCTGGTAGTCCAGATAGGCTGGATACAAATAAAATAAATAAATAAATAAATCTCCAGCAGCTTACTGTATTTGTGCTCCTTCTGATACTGGCAAGAGAGGGATGAATTGGCAGAACCTCAAAGCCTCTCTCCCTATGTTCTCGTTTAAGATCAACACAGGCAACTAAGCATCAAAAGCATGTTTACAGGAATGTAGTTTTGATGTTTCAGTAAGCCCATCTACCAAAGGCATCCGCACGAGACCTTTGGCAAATGCGGCGTCATACCCCACACTCCTCTCCCCTGCACCCCTGGTGATGATATGAAAGAAGCAGCTTACGTGCAGGGGGGAGCGCAGGAACTCCTCTAACATTTATTTTTCCAGTGACATGAGTTTTACGTCAGCAATTGGTTTGTCTTCAACTGTAAATGAAGAGCCCTTGAATCTTTTCCGCAGCGCACTTGCCTTATCTTCTCCCTTAAATCTGCAATTAGCAGGAGCTCGTTTTTTAAACGAAGACCTGAACTTTCAGCAGTCAGGTGCCCCCCGCGGGACCAAAACACGATGCTTGCCTTCACACTAAAAGTTCAAAATAGCAAGGGCAGGGGAACATGGAACCTCTGATCTCCTTCATTGCAAGCGGATCGTTATGTATTCTCAAAGGTCACCTTCGCTGTGCAATGGATTCTCCCTCCTAAATAGCTTTGTGGTACCCATCTCTGCCCCCCTCTCTGCTGGTACATTTGCATTATTGACACAAAAGTGCTTCCTCTGTTTAGTTCCTCTTGAAAACAAGAATGGCTTCCTCTTTTCTAGTATACCAAGCTCCAGGAAGCTTCAGTTTGTCTTAAAGGGCAAGTGGTGGCACAAACCGATGTCAGGGTCACCTTGTGCAGAGTAGCTGGGAAGGAAGAGAAGCTTACGGCTGCACTTGGCCGCCGTAGCTCAAAGCACAGCCAAAACTAACTGGACGCCAGCCAATTTAGCCTTACTCGGCTCAAAGCAAATCACAGCATTCAATACCCACCGGGCTCCAAGGATACTCAAGAATCTGAGAAGGCTTCTCTAAACGTATGATGACTTTTATATAAAAGTGACATACGGATCAGCCCCAAATGTGACATTCTCCTTTACTGCACACATCCTGGTGCCATGCTTCATAGTGCTACCAGCTCGCCGCAGCCACTGTCCGAACGAAAGACTTTCCACTTCTCCCAGACTCTCATGCTATCTTCTTCTGCCCATGACCAGCAGGCACAGCCTGGCTCCCCCCAAGAAGAAAAACTGGCCGGCCGGCCTCTGGCCCCTGTCAACCAGCAGAGCCAACAAACCCCAAGGAGGCAGATGGGTGATGGGAGGGGACTTTTTAAAAAACAAACACACACATGCTTGCTGGAAAGCAGGGAGGCGACATGGGAAATCCTCGCGGGAAGGGAATTTTAAGTGGCATTGCATCTTCCACACAAAGACCCTCTTGGGCCAGGGACAAGACCCAGTTTGATTTGTGCTCAGAAGGCAGGCGCTTGGAAACATATGTACCCACAAATCTGTCTTCCAGAAGCTACCGACTTAGAAGCTGCACAAATCCAAGGGAACTTCACCTGGTGCAAAGCACTGCAACTACTGTTTTGGACAGGTTTACTCAGTGGTCTAAGTCTTGCACTCAGGTTGGGAGTTTGATGCCCCACAGTGCCTCCTGTGAGTAGAGCCAGCTGGTGTGGCCTTGGGCAAGCTGCGCACAGCCCCTGCGCATGCCCCAGAAGAAGGGAAGGGGGAAACCACTTCTGACTGTTCTCTACCTGGAAAACCCTGAAACCCAGGAGGCGTTTAACCCCTTCTATTACAGCAGGTGGAATTCTGTACTGTACTATTTCAGAATGCACTGTTTCTGAATGCTCTCCCATGTTATAATACTTTTTTTTTGTATAAAGAACCCTGTCAGACACAAAGGCTGTGGTCTAGACCTGTCTCTGACACACCAGCTTTGCCATCTATGAAGAACAATTTACATGGGAGGTATTTAAGGATACGATTTCCTCCCCTGTAGACTTCATGAAGGCAACTGCAGAGAATTCTATCCCCTTATTCTGCACAGGGTAGAGAAAGAGACTGGCCTCTTTTACTCTGAGTCTCTCTCATGATAAGGAAGCAATCCATTGTCAGCGAACAGCATTCTTAGCCCAAAAGCCACTTCCATGGTCTTATCAGAGGAAGTTGCTTTACATCAGCTCAGTCTTGTTGGTTTAGCCCAATTGATGCTCTGCTGAACTTCTCTTGCAGAAAGACATGTTTTATCCTTCACCAGCAGCTTGGTTTTTTAAACTGGAGATGGACCTAAGACCTCCTCTATATCAGGCACAGGCTCTTGGCCCAGACCAATCCAAGCAATGGGGAAGATTTCATCCACTTCTCCTTGGCACGGGGAACGGTCTTCTGCGGGCTGAGTGCTGCTTCATAAGGTCTGTTTCATGAAAAGCCTATCAGAACGAACGAGGCTCGGCAGGAGCCCAGCTGTGTTCAACTCCCGTTCATTCCGAGGAGGGTGATCAACACCCTTTCTCCACAAAGAGCCTCTTGTTTGGAAATGGCATGGCTGGCCTCATTATCATTTCTGTCACTTAGTGCTTAGAAGAATCATAACAAAAATAACAACTGCAAAGTACAACCCGCTTCCAAATGAAATGAGAGAGAGAGAGAGAGAGAGAGAGAGAGAAAAGAGGCAAAACAATCCATCATAACCCCAGAAGTAAAATTCTATTTACTGAATGCTGCTGATGAGACCTGGTAAGTTCTGTTCTCGGTCCCAGTGTCCACTGGGAGGTGAAAGATAGCCTCAGTGGCACAAGAGGATGATGTCTGAGGCCAGGCCTGCTTCATCAGAAGTGTCGCTTGAGTGAAGACAGAAGAGAAGGTGTTACAAAGGGAACAAACAGTGGGATGGCAATCACAATGAAGACACAGTACTCCATTTCTCCAAAACACACTCTCTCTTTTTTTGGGGACAGATCTGCCTTCGTCTTTGCTGACACTCTGAAGTTAGAGGGATCCGTCTAAGGTTGGGGGGGCTGGCAGGGCTGTTAATTAGTCCTGAAAGCTGATTTTGGAATACTTTTTTCTATCACAGAAGCCGTTGTTTCAAGTGTCTGCTGCAAAAAGTGAACATTTGGGGCCAGGATGACCTTTGTGCCAAGGCACGCAGTAAAGCAGAAGTGCCCCCTCCAGCTATTATACTACAACTCCCATTAGCCCTAGCCAGCGCATCCGATGGGGACGAATGCCAGGAAGTGCAGTCCACTAGCAGCTAGAAGAGTATTCCCCAGAAATAAAGGTTTTGGCAACTCTCATTCCCCGACTCTTCTTTCCTCCTGTGTACGTAACTAGTGTCTGAGTGATGCGGCCCTCAAGTTGCAGGTGCGAATCCCATTTTGAAAGGGGAGAAATGGGCATCCCAGTTGCTAAATAACTGCTGCGTAGGTTCTCAGTCTGATTTGGCATAAGACGACCAGGTTGCTTCAAGCTGACATCAAAGCAAAAGCTGAGATCATTCAGGAATCCGTGTTGTGTGAATGAGGGGTTCAGACAGAAGGAGGGGTCGGATCTAGGCGTTTTGCTTTTGGCAGCTTCCTAACGGTGCTGGGGACGACAGCAGTGCCACAGAGAAAGGAGGAGGAGGAGGAGAGAGAGAGAGAGACAGAGAGAGAGACTGCTGCAGGTGATGTTGAGAACCGGGAATGTCAAACGGAATGCTCCTCCCTTCCCTGAGGACATGCCCGCTTTCCGCAGGCTTGCTTTGTTGCATGAGGGAACAGAAGGGTCCTGGCATCTCAAAACTACACTGAAAGGAAGCCTGCACAAAGGATACACGACTTTGCTGGATCTGGAAAGGCCTCTTGTAAATGCTTCTTGTGTGTGTGTGTGTGTGTGTGTGTGTGTGTGTGTGTGTGTGTGTGTTGGGGGAAGGTATCAAATAAGCATTCACACAACTTAGGCCCCTCTCCTTCAGGCAAAGTTACCTACCTTTACCTTTTCCTTACTTGGGAAAAGGCAATAACTTCCTCAGAGAGAGCATTCCCAGCCATGGGGACCGCCAGGTTAACTCTGCACTTATCAATCATGCGCTGTCAAGTCAGTTCTGACTTACGCCAACGCTTTCCAGGGTTTTCTAGGTAGAGAACATTCAGAAATGACTTCCCATTCCCTTCCTCGAGGGGGAGCCCTGAGACCATTTTGCAGCTGGCCCAAGGCCACCCAGGCACGATGGGGAATTGAACTCCAAATCTTTGGCACCACAGTCAGCTACCTGAACCATTCAGCTATCCAGCCCGTTCAACAGATGTTTACGATAATTTCTGACTTACAATTCTGACTTACAGTGCCCATTTTCAGGGTTTCCCGGATTGAGAATAATTAGAAGTGGTTTTCCCATTCTCTTCCTCTAGGGGGAGCCCTGGGACTGTGTGCAGCTGGCCCAAGGCCACCCAGGCTGGCTCTGCTTCCTAGAGGCACGATGGGGAATCGAACTCCCAACCTCTGGCTCCACAGCCAGACACCTAAACCACTAAGCTGTCCAGCCAGCTTATTTTGCACTTGCTTTGGGAGGTTTAATGTTGTCCTCGGCCACCGGCTCCTCCAGAGGGCAACTCCAAGCTAAGAACACTCACCCAGGAAGGGTTGGTCACATACTGGATTTGGCTTTGAACTCCCCTTAAGGGAGTCAGCACTTGTTCTGTTGTTTAAAAGAACAGTCAGAAAACTGCAAGCTGTGGTTGCTGTCACGAACCAGATTGTGGTTTCAACTATGCTGGCTGCATAAACAATGCATGTGGCAAATCACCATGTCTCAGAGGCTATGGACGTTTGGTGCCTGCAGTGAGGGACCACACGCTAGCCATCACTCGTTTTTTACAGCCCACCAGGTGAACATGCGTATTAAGCATCTCTTTCTTACCGGCAATCATCAAAAGCATTTTCACTTCGTTTGTTAAATTTTACTCTGCCTTTCTGCTTTACAAAGTCTTCAGTACACCTTGCAAAGGATTGAAAAAAAAATCAAATGGAAGATCAGAAATAAAATCTTCCACTCATTCCCAGCTGTAAAATCCGACTTGAAAACCGAACAGACTAGACGCGATAAAAGAAATGAGCCATTGAACACTTGGAAGCAGTAGCAATGGGTTTAACCGGGAACCTTAATGTCGGTTACACTGGCGTCATGTGAGTCGTGCTATTGAGATATTCCACTCACGGAGGTGTATTACCAGAGGAAAGACTTCGATCCTAACCGTAGAAGGTGTGTGGATACAACCTGGATAAAGGCTCCAAGGGACACCACTTTTTTACAGTAAAATCATGGTAGTGGTTGTGCATCACTTGAACACAGCACCCAGCCTATTTTAGAGGGAGAGTGTTTCTTTTAGTTGGGGCATGTGTATGTTTGAGTTCTGGATAGAAGGTTTCTGTCTGGTACGATGCTGCACCAATGTTAAAAAAACAGTTCTGACGTATTCGCGAAGGCTTTCACAGCCGGGATCTAATGGTTGTTGTGGGTTTTTCAGGCTCTTTGGCCGTGTTCCGAAGGTTTTTCTTCCTAACGTTTCACCAGTCTCTGTGGCTGGCATCTGGATCCCAGCCCTGAAAAATACAGCCTGCAAAAGGGCAACAAAGTCTATCCAGCCACAAGGAACGGTGATCACTGCACACAAAAGACTAGCTAACGACACCCATCAATCACAGTGACAGATAATCTCCCCCCTTATCACAACATTACACTCATAACAAAAAACAAACTGATCACCATAATCATCCAATCTCCTGAAAAGGACAAAAAGCTGATCCCACAGCTACAAATGCTCAACTATCCCACACATTACATCAGAGCACAGACAGAGTTCTAACTTCTGTCCCCTGAAGATCCCAGCCACAGAAACTGGCGAAATGTTAGGAAGAACAACCTTCAGAACACGGCCAAAGAGCCCGAAAAACCCACAACAACCAAAACAGTTCCGAGTTTGGTTTTCTGCCTCAGCTTTGAGGATCTTATCCACGTGACATCCCTGTATTTCTTCCGGTTTGCTGAGTTCTATGTGTTTGCTGCTTGAGATACACGGAAGGCTCCTTTACAATGCGTGTATGTTCTGCTGAATGCTACTGGACTTACTTCTGAACGGAGATGCTTAAAAACTACGTTCTGCTTCCTCTGTTGGCATTTCCCATACAGATTTCGCTCTAACCATTCGATTCACAGCCATTCCTTTAAGGATAAAAGGTTTTGCCGGACCTTCAAACGACTTATCAGATATGGAGGGAAGGAGGGAGCCTGAGACACCAATAAAACGCTACTTAGTTGAAATTCAATGGAGCAAAAAAGGCCAAAACACAGAACAGTTGGGGAAGAAGTCATTTCACGCATGGATTTCTTTAAGTAGCCAGACGTAAGTCATTGTCCTTGTTTATACCTAACAAGGATGCTGAAAGGTGTATGCAACAAGGCAGCTGAGGTTAAAAAAAAAGGTTGGGCAGCTGTTTAATAGTCAATACCTGAAACTCGACTACTCACATGCCAATATCATTTTTAAAATCTCCACTGATAAACTGATCCAAGCCAGTTTTGACTATCTACATGGCACAATATGGCCTGCCCCTAGCTTTGCCCTTCAGATTTCATCAGTTGCTGACAGTTTCACTTGAGCAGTTAGAAGGTTTATGGACACCAAAATCAGAACACAGCTAATGCCAAGCTAAGAAACTGAGAAATATTCAGAAGACATTCAGAAAGAGTAAAGGATCACTCGGCTTTTAGACAGGAGTACAGACAGTGTCACAGTGCATGCCAGCCTCTAACAGAAGGGATCTTTTGACCCACTAGATGATTTGACATACAACTTCCACAATAATCATGGTCTCTTGGAGTCTGGGAGTTGAAGTCCCAAATATTTGACAGGACAAAGATTTACCACCCCTAATCAAGAGGTTCAGAGATCACTGAAAGAAAGGTATCAACCGTCTGTAAAGATCCTAGTCAAGTCCTTCATTTTCAAACTTCACAATAAACTGTGAAATTTTATACCAAGTTATGGGCAAAATAAACAGCAGACAAATAAACAAAACTAAGTGTCGAGATTTTTCGTAAGTTAAAATAACCACATTCCTCCTTGGTCTTTTATACACTTGCTCCACTTTTCATGTGCCCCTTCCTTAGGACTTTTAACAGGTGATAAAATTCAGGCTTGCAAAACGTGCTGCAAATCTACATTCCCAATTACAAGCTTATTCTGAGTCTCAAAGGCCAACTCCAAAAGAAGAACTTTGCCGCTTCGGAGCTGTCCCAGCGTGGAATGGAGACCAAGGACTCCATCGGAGATGCAGGAAGCCAACAAGCAGAGCCCGGTAAGGTGCTGCTCCAAGCAGCTCTCCAGCTGGAAAAATTGTCGAGTCTGCCTGTCAGGTCCTGTTTTTGCCATGTTGGCCAACTCGGTGTACAGGACAAAGAGGCCATCAATCTGCACCGGTCTGAGATTTTGACTGCAGTAAGTGGGAAACCCAGAAAGAGTGGGTGCAGAAGTTCTGGGTAATCAGTCCTTAAGAATTTGTTACAGCCAGTGGTTACTTGTATTTCAGCAACATTCCTTCTGGGTGGGAGCTGATCTAATGGATGACCTACATCATTATCGTTGTTTAGTCGTGTCCGACTCTTCATGAGCCCATGGACCAGAGCACGCCAGGCCCTCCTATCTTCCACTGCCTCCCGGAGTTGGGTCAGATTCATGTTGGTTGCTTCGGTGACACTGTCCAGCCATCTCATCCTGTGTCGTCCCCTTCTCCTCTTGCCTTCACACTTTTGCATTATTAACAGAAATGGCTTGGGCACAAACTGGCCTCTATGGAAATT